TGAATATTGAATTGCGTTCTGCCTTATTTCTCAGATTTATATCGAATTTCTTCTAATAATGGAGATTATCTTGCGGTTCCAGTAGAGAGATTTTTCCTCTATCCGATATGAATAAGCGAGTGCACTGTAATTTAAGAAAAAAGAAAGTCGTCCACGTGTAATCCGCAACTCCTTCATAGATCGCTACGAGAACCACTCGCGTGAAAATCTTTGAGAGATCCTTAATTAACTCGAGATGAATATTTGCAAGGATTCGATGGGCTCGGTTCGCGGTTTGAATTTGTTATAATAATCAAGGGGTATTCCCAGAGAAACCGAAATTTCTCCCCTCGTTCGTAGCACTAATTTCGCATTGTCAAAGCGTAACAATAAGCGATGCACGATACTACGAAAGCCGGGTAGAAAACTGTACCAACAATCGCCCGGCCATCGAAATAAAAGCACGCCGTCCTTCCTGCTCGTACTGCTCCACCGCTAATTAAATTATGTTTGCTAATTATCTCGCGAATGCAAAGTCGCCGACACGGACGACCAACCACGGCCAAGGAATCAGGAAGCGCAAACCACAGTTATCGACCCCTGGAGCTCTGGCCGAGGTGAAAATTAAACTCCCAGCCGTATGAAAGTTTCAAGCTTGGCTGGAAATTGCGCAGAACCGTATGAACAAATTAGTCGATTGGCCAGTCCCAAGACACACTCCGACGCGACGAGGGTCTTTGCAAAGGAGGAAACATAAATCGCTAAAGAACGTTTTTTCGGATTTTTCTCTTGTCCTTTAAATATAACTATACGGATAAATCAATGTGTACGGAAAATATCGGGATAATATTCGCAAAGCATTTTTCGTTTTTTGTAAATATTTTGTTCAAAATGTAAATCATATTCTATGGTGAAGAAAGAAAAATCTCATTGACAATTCGAATAATTCTATACAATCTTCCTAAGGGAAAATCTGATATTCAAAACAACTTGCGCTAACCCTCGGTGCTGAAATTCACGTTTTTACCCAGGCACCGCGGAACGTGGAATATCTGTAAATTAATCGTATATAAATGTTGATTGAACGTATGTAAGATATTCATAGATATCTATTTTAGATACACTCAAAGGCTACATGTCCGGATATGGTATATATATCGTGGATATCTACAATAGATGGTCTACAGATATCCATATGTATTTGTAAACAAAATTAAATACATAAAACTTTTTGAGCAGAGTCTGTTTGAAAACTTGTGCAGTACAACTGTGCAGACAAATCCTGCTGTTTTTAACACAGAAACATCTTTTGTGCAATTGTTGGGATTTGATTTCGGGACTCACGGGTAGGAAGCAGGAACGCTAACCATGATGCTACCAAAGAAATAAATAATAAACCGTATGAACAAATTAGTCGATTGATCAGTATGACACACTCCGACGCGACAAGTGTCTTTGCAAATTTAACTTTAAGAGGTTCATAACTATTGACACGGTGAAAATTCCCACTTTCTGACGAGTACAGGAAAAAATTAAACACATGTCAATACAGTTTGAGCGGATTGTTAACCGTACTTTTAGGTACATATTATCATTTTATATTAAAAACTTTTGAAAGTTTAAAACCATTTCCTAAATAACTTAATTTTTTATGCTTTGTCGTAGGATACCTCAAAAAGTTTTGGTTCCCCATTGTTCATATTTTACACACGTTTTCATAAAATATGTGATAGAATAGGTGAATATATGAATTTTACAACTTTCTCCTCCCGCTGAGGAGGGATCGGATCTTGTATTTACATTTGGAATCCATAGAAGGACCGAATTCATATTTTCTAGAATTCCAATTCGTTTCCGAATAGTTGCATTTTATGGAAATTTGAGAATGATCGGATATCAAGTGAAATTGAAAAACCATGGATTGAAATAGAAGTTTATATTTTGCAAAGATTAGTTTCATTTCATTATTGAATTATGTAGAAATCAGTACAAATGCACAAACGCAAACGATTTGACTCATAGTGTATTATCTACGGAATTTAAACAATGGATGCAATCGATTCGTATATAAAGTTTTTAAAATAGAGTTATTTAAAAAAACACCAACGCTAATTGACTTTTGGATCAATTTACAATGACAAACCCGAAACGTGCAATTAACCGATGGAGTGCCCCAAGTTATTGCAAAAATGTAACTGCGAAAGTGCGAAACGGCACGATCACGCTTCTTTCAATTACTGCTACAAAATGCCGGTGGATAAATTACGAATAAAGCTACTTAACAACGAAATTGATTCTATAGATAATTTTTATTCAATTTGTAGCGGCATTTTAAATATGAATTATAATCACATAATTTAATAAATAGGTTCTCAAGGTTGTTTAAAGTCAACTCTTTTTCGATAGAGCTAGGGGTAGTTTATTTCTATCCATATAATACGACATCTACTCCGTCATATATAAAGAGAAAATTGATAAGATTTTAGAGGAGTTGAATCTAGGGGAATATGGATTCATGATGCACTATAAGGTTCACGTATCGAACAGGGTTTGTGGTATAGTCTGCTGGCCTCGTAACGACCAACTTGGTGAATCATTATGGGAGTGTACACCGCACGTTATATAGTGTCACGTCCGGTTCGCCACCTTCGTGGTTAAGGCTCGTTTGACCAGCCATGCTTTCCCTCTCCTTTCTTCTCATTAGTAGATTAGGATGAAAGGTCTGGAGCGTGTTAAAGCGATGAAAAATCTATTTTTTTACAAAGAGAGGTTATCGACATCTTAATTTCCCATTACGTTTCGAAATAAGTACAATCAACCGCCTTTGAACAAAATTGAAGAAAATTCTATAAGCAAGTATATTTCCTATTCCTGATGATCACGCAATAAAAGAGCGAAAGAAGATAACGTTATTATTCACATTGCCTATCATTGAATTAGTATGAACTATTGTATTTCCATTAAATGGCTGTATCCTTAAGAAGAAAATGCTCCTCTTGATCTAGCTAGGCAATTGTCAATAAATTACCCCGTTTCTTGAATGACCTTTGCAGAACAATAAAAAAGAGTAAAAATATCAATAAGCTCAACCGGTAAGATATGAATTCGAAACTCTCTTAACCACGTCGGGAACTCCATCTCATCTTTCAACCGTGATAAATTCGACATCGGGAACGACGTTTGTATCCCGATGCGGAAAAATGGCGAGGTTCGGAAAATGACAGAGTGGCCGAGAAGGCATTTCCGGAAGTTTGGGCCGCTGCCAAAGAGATTTCCGGTCGACGATGCGATACGGACGAGAGTAACGATAATGCCCTTTTTTCTTTCCCTGGTCGGGCTCTATTTCGGAATAATGCCAAGTCGTTCGATCCAGTACTTGTGCTGAAATTAAAGTAGGTACATATGCTCGAGATAGAGATACGTGAAAATATATTCTCACCAGCGATGCTTGTTTGTCATTTCTTAACTCTTTCTTGAGTATTTATAAAAAGGACGTATGAGCCGGACGTCTGGACTTTTCCTATTCTGAGGGAAAATTTAATTAATTAGGTAAACGCAATGCTTTATTTAGGAACTTTTTCACTTATTTTTCTGGTAAATTCGTAGAGACCGGGTTTTGTGAACGCATGACATTGTACCGTTAATTTTAACATGTCTCCAAATGTTGATACATGAATAATCTGGGAATTTGTTATGACGAGTTATTGACAATATTAATCTCAACATATAAAATCCTGTTCGACTCGCTGACTTAGAGATAATTAACGCCCAAGCTTCTCTTTCCTAATAAACAGAAAGTAGTGGAATTCAGGATTTATATTGGTAAATTTAGTGGAAATAGAATAGTAGGTGGAAAAATAAAACGTTCATTCACCCACGGTTTTTTCTCAACGTTAAATAGACATTTATAAGAAACGTTTATCCCTAACCGAGAAGAAACGTGTACTTTAACGTTATTTGAACGTACAGTAAACAATTATGGACGATTATTTTACGTCCGGACTACGTTTAAACGACGTTCATGGTACACGACTATTCCACAACTTGAGCTAACTGGAATTTCATTGGTTTACTACAGATTTAAACCGATAGTGTAAACCAATTAAACTCCGATTAACTCAAGTTGTTCAACCGGGCCTAAAATGACAGTACAATGAACGTAGAATAGATGTTATATCAACGTTGAATTTGCTATGGAAAGGGCGGACATTAGAATGTATAAAACACGTTTTTTGCAATACACTTTATACGCTTACAATCAATGATTTTACACCATTTCTCAATCACTTAATTGGGTTAAGACATGAGCATCCACTAAGAAGGGATTTTTCAAAATTCGACCTCTAAGAGAGTGAAAATAGTGTCGAAACTTTAGGCTTGTTAAAAAACTATTAGATCTAGAAACACAGAATCTGGCATAATTATTCTTTGTGGAAATCTGTTCGACACGTGTATGACGAAATTTCGATTTTCTCTTTTTGAAGGGGTAAAACGGCAATGCATCATCACGAAATATGAATATTCAGTTAATAACATTAATAACTCATCGTCAGAGAATATTCCCAAGACACAACACCCTGGTTAACAGGTTAATATAACTCAGTAACACACATATTGCCATGAACTATATTTGACCCTTGTATCAGATACATTATCAATGACTAAAACATTAATATTTATTTCTTTTACGAATGGTTGCATTAATCTCAGTAGGAGCACCAATGCCGAAGAAGGTTTAAGTAATTTTTATCACGACATTCGGTGACATAAAACATGTAATTTCCGGTGTGGTTGCACATAACAAGCAGGATGGACGGGAGAAGTTCGAGAGCCTACCTTTCTCCCTACATTCGTCCTTGTTCCTCGTACAAATGGGAGAATTAATCTTAATGGAAACTGCAGGGCGAAAAGGAACTTCGTTCAGGAAGTTCTTTTTCACCGTATCGGACGGCAAGATTTAGACGTCATTTCCTGTTTGCAACGTACGGACGAATGAGAATTCCCATTTATCCCTGTTGCAGGTGCACGGTCGTGCTCTTCAATCCACGGAAGAACAACCAAGCCCACGTGCTGAACGCATGTCGGAAAACGGTGACGTCGCTCGCCCTGGCTGGAGATGGCAGGTTGCTGGCAACCGGCGAATGCGGACACATGCCCAATGTCCGCGTCTGGGACATCTCCGACCCGAACAATGCCGTGCAAATTGCCGAGTTTCCCGGCCACAAGTACGGCATCAATTGCGTCGTAAGTACCCATCGTCGGTTTTATATCATATATCTCTATTTGGAACGCGTACATTTACATATGCACGGGCAATGGTGAACGAGAAAGAAAAGAAAAAAAAAATGCGCTCTGGGACAGGTGATCGATGATCAGCTGATATTTACAAAGAGTGGATAATGATTGACAATCAGCTGTTAATCACGTGGAGTTGAGTAAAATTTACCCAGATGTGCACTCAGCTTGAATGTTATAGATGTTTTCGGTTTTTTTAATGTGAACAATTGTTTAAGGTGAAGTGAAACCCCCTTCAAATCAGTCGATTCGAATACAACACTTTTTTTTTAAAGGTATTAGACCAAATTGTCCTGACACATTTAAAATTTGGATTTTTAGACAACATTTTTTAACTTAGCCCAGACCAGAACCAAAATGGCGTCGAGCTCTCATATTTCGATCAATGTAAAATTATCGAAGGCTCTGATATGAGAAACGAAAGGGTCGGGACAATTTGACGACAATTTAGAACACTCTGGTAATTGATAAACTAGCATTTTAACGGGATAAAGGCAAAGAAAGTGTTGTATGCGCTTCTATGCTAAAACGATGGGTTTCCTCGACGTGTTTCACTTCACCTTAATTCTGTTCATTTGTTTTTTCACCTTTTTCCATTTTTTAAGGATGTAGTCTCTGGACATAAAAGTTGTGGTCTTTGAAAGAACATGTTGATTGAGATTGATCCATATTTAGAGAGTTACTCCTTTGATCTTACAATTGGATAAAGTATCAAGAAACATCCCTTCGTTAATATTCAATCTTAGGGTGATAGTACATACTAAAGGAGTTTAATTGACGACGACGTGTTCTGCCGTCCGTTACCGTGACAATCTGTAAATTGTTCCGCTCATCAATTAGTCTCCGAATCCTAAACTTCTCTGTACTTTGAAAATGTCATGCCCAAATTTATATGCAACATTTCTAGCATATTTTGTGCTCCATTGAATAGCCAGCGTTCTTAAATCTCGGGAGAGTATCCTTTAGGAGGATTGATATAAATCTAGATGAAAGAACTTTGGATAGTACCTTTTGGGTAGACTGAATTGAAACATATATAAAGGACACGGTGACACAAATGAGGATATATCTAAATGTCTTTTCCTTACACGTGCCCACGCATGACGTGTCGCACAGATGCTCGAAGGTTCTTTTAACTTGCAAAACCTCCTGGCTAGTAAATTTCTTAGAATTGTAAACATCGAGGCGTTCTTGAGTACAGAACCTCCAAGTACGCTTTCTCGTGCCGCCAGGAGAGATAGAGGTTTTTCTACTTTCCGTTTTGATCCGATATTCGGTTAAGGCTACTGGACATTCAGGTACCTACATTTAAGGTCGGCGTTTCAAGAACCACTCGGTCGTTGGGTAATTGAATTCCACGTTCCTCTTAGAATTCTACGGAGCTTCTATCGATAAGACGTGCACCAACCGCAACGTAAGTCCCTCCAACCGTCTCTCTGAATATCTAATTACTAATCCGATCATGGCAAGAAGTGCCTCGCCCCTGCAGACACTTTCGGATGAAGCATTCAGACCTACCGACGGAAGATGAGGTCGTCCTAAAATCCCCCTTCTGCTTCCTCGGCCTCCTTGAAAATGATCGATTATGTTACTTACCTAATTCGTCTCTTGATCAATCAATGGGTGCAAGAAATTTCAATTTTATTAGTTCGGAAAGTTATCGAAACTCGGACTTCCAGCATATCGGAGGATTAACCGGTCGACAATTTTCTAAGGAATCTTGGAACTTCGAAATGGAATATTTTACTCGCAAAACCCTAGGAAGCTGATGGAATGAATTTCTGGAAAATTGGATGGTTGAATGGGTTACGGAGCCGGGAAGGGTTTAAGAAGAGCTGATCGAACTCCTCCGTAGAAGTTTTTCCTATCGAAGTTATTGCTATCTAGTTCTCTCATAGAAAATATAGATGTGCTTCGATCGTTGTCCGATATTTTCGTTAAATGGAGACTTCCGATCAATAAATAAAATTTCTTAGATTTTATATCGAAGTTATTACTCTCTTGTTCTCTCATAGAAAATATAGATGTACTTCGATCGTTGTATGATATTTTCGTTCAATGGAGACTTACGATCAATAAATATATAATAATTTCTTAGATTTTATATCGAAGTTATTGCTCTCTAGTTCTATTATAGAAAATATAGATGTGCTTCGATCGTTGTCCGATATTTTCGTTAAATGGAGACTTCCGATCAATAAATAAAATTTCTTAGATTTTATATCGGTTATTACTCTCTTGTTCTCTCATAGAAAATATAGATGTACTTCGATCGTTGTACGATATTTTCGTTAAATGGAGACTTCCGATGAATAAATAAAATTTCTTAGATTTTATAGAACGTCTTTAAATCGTGGAATGGGACGCTTTATTCGCAAAATTCTAAAAAGCAAAAGACGAGCCTATGAAAATTAATTTCTCAAAAGTTGATCCGTTTTACGGGTTACTAGGCCAGGTAAGTATGCTTTGCTCCTTAGAACAACGTGCACCCTACATATTTCTCTGTTAATAACCTAAATATTACCCCACGTGGTACATATAAACTCTTAGACTTCGACAAACGATAAAAGGATTGATTCGTGACACGAGTACGTTTCGGCGAATCATCCCGAATCGGCAACAAGGAGAGAATTACTTTTATTATCATTCTATCGTTGTTAAACGATCGGACCGAGAGCTTTAAGTCAAAGGAAACGATACGATCTGACAATGATGGAGTGTCGGGACTTTTCATTTCAGGCCTTCTCGCCGAGCAACAAGTACGTCGTGTCTGTCGGTTCCCAGCACGACATGATCGTCAACGTCTGGGACTGGAGGAACAACGTAAAGGTTGCCTCGAACAAAGTGTCCAGCAAAGTAAAAGCGGTGTCCTTTGCAGAAAATGGCAACTATTTCGTAACCGTTGGCAATAGACACGTCAAGTTTTGGTACCTGGAGTACTCCCGAAGCGCCAAGGTGAGATTTTTATTATTTTTTTCTTCAATTCTTTCCGGAGTGAGATTTCGGGTATACATGTTACCGTGAATGACCGAAATTGGAGAATGTCGACTTTCACCGGTGAATGTCAACAGATACCAAATACGTCGGTGAAAGAATATTTCATTACATTGTTGTACATTCGGACCCTCTCCAGTGTGTGTCGACAATCACAGATATTAGTGCATGGTGAATGTCAACATTTAACGGTGTAAGTCAGAAATAAGGGTATTTAGCAAATATTTCGGACATACACTAAGCGACTATGTGAATGTTGACATTCACCAGTGAAAGTCGACATTCTCTAGATTTCGGTGTTTCACTGGAACATACACAACACACGATCAGCCTGCGCAATCCTGAGACGCATCGAGATGCATTGGGATGCATTGAGATGCATCGGGATGCACAGTGACCCGTGGGAGTCACAAAAGACGCGATTTCCTTACGAAACTTCGTTTGCTTTCGCAGTACAAGGAACCAGTGCCTTTAATGGGACGATCTGCCATATTAGGAGAGCAAAGAAACAATGACTTCGTCGACGTGGCCTGCGGTAGGGGCGAGATGGCAGATTCGACGTACGCTATCACCAAAACCGGCCTCTTGTGCGAGTTCAACAACAGGAGGCTCTTGGATAAATGGGTTGAACTCAGAGTAAGTCTTCTTTGAGGTCAAAATAATTTGGGTCTTCCTTGAAACGTTGTACACCATTTTTGTGACGAATGAAGAGTACACGTTTGAGGGAATTGTTAGGAATTAAGTAATTCATTTTTATTCATTACCTCGATTACAAGAAGGTTATTAAATGTACACTTAAGGTTTGCAAGAGATCCGATCGTTCTTACTTTTAATGGAATAGATTTATTTTATACTTGAATTTATTTTATTAACAATGTTTTTGTGTACCACTCCTTGCACTCCTCCGTTCAGTCTTCGGGCTCTGTGTCGTCCATGACTGCAACTCTTATTCAATTGCTATTTCAATACCCTATAGAATTACGATTTAACCTTGTCGCATTGAAGTAAGTAGGTAGCACTGAACAGCATTCGTCTTCTTTTCCAGACAACTAGTGCGAACTGTATGGCTGTCGGGGACAAGTACATTTTTATAGGATGTGCCGAAGGAATTGTACGGTGCTTTAGCCCGACCACTCTGCAATTTATTACCACGTTACCTAGAACGCATTACTTAGGCGTCGATGTAGCCCAGGGATTATCTATAAGGTAAAGTATCAGCCACGAGGCGTAATCACTTTTGAGGTTGGTCAGAGAGTAACCGTGCCGCGTCATAAATTATTCCGTCGTGCTATTAATTGTTCTTCAGATTGAAAATTCATATTAAGGAGATTAACAGGTTGTGCAACGTGGTTTAATTAAAGTGAGTTTATAAGGGAATTGAATTACGTAGGAAATATTGACTTATGGGGCGGATTTATTTGATATTTTAAGATGATATGAAAGGGTCATTTTATATATATAAAACGTCAAAATATGAAACTTTTCTCCAAACTGGTTGCACCGAATCGATGGAAACTTCAATATGTGATTATAGAGGCCCTAAGGAAGAACGTGGTGTTGAGCATGAAATTTCATTTTTAATCATTTTTTTCTTCTATTTAGCCCAGACTAAAACTAAGAATACATATTTTTCTTGAAAAATGAAATTTTATTAGCACCGCGTTCTTCTTTAGGACCTCCATAATCACGTGTTGAAGTTTCAACTGATTCAGTGCATCCAGTGTCGAGAAAAGTTTTATAACAATTTTGACATTTTATATATATAAAACGACCCTTTCATATCACCTTAATGCAAAAGAAATTCAGATTTTAGTAAAAAAAATGATGCCAATGAAAATCACTTTTTCATTACTCTTAAATAAAAATTCTCGTTAAGAATCCGTGCCATCGGTTCGAAAATAATCTACTCTAGTTTTTAAAACCACCTTAACTGCTTATCTCAGACTTACCGTTCTCCCGAATTCATATAGACCGTAAAAAAAGTAATTAGAAAGATTTCAACCTGCACGAGTTCGTCATTTTGACAAATTTTAAAGCCCTTCTTTATCTTAAATTCCCCATAAAACAAAATAGAACAGCCCTATAAGCAGATATTTCCTATACCTTTTCACTTTCATCTAAACTCACTTCGATTACGGCGCATTTAACAACTTACTAACCTCCTCAATGAATCTATTTTTACGAAGGATGAAGTATTATATTTGGTTTTTATTCCGGTTTCAGTCACATGTCTCAACATCCACCTAACGCAAGGTACCCGGACGCAATTGCGTTAGCCTTCGACGAGCGCAACAACAAGTTGACCTGCGTTTACAACGATCACAGTATTTACGTCTGGGACGTGAGAGATATCAGACGAGTCGGGAAATCTCATTCTTTCCTCTATCACTCGGCGTGCATTTGGGGGGTGGAGATGTATCCCACGGGACCCGATTCGATCAGCTCTATGCCTCCAGGCAGTTTCATTACTTGCTCCAGTGACGATACCATCCGAGTGTGGAATCTGGAGAAAGACGCGTCACTAAACGACACCATGTTCAAGAGAAACATTTACAGTAATGTACGTACATCTGTTATCGTAAATGAACCGCCTCGTTAAATGTTCATCCTCCTTTACTAATGGTTTATTTTGTTAAAATCAGACTTAACTTATCAGTAACATTTGACGTCTTCATTGGAGAAAATATTATGGCGGTCATAGCATACGTAAATGAACCGCCTTGTTAAATGTTCATCCTCCTTTATCAATGGTTTATCTTGTGAAAATTTGACTGAAGTTATCGGTAACATTTGACGCCTTCATTGGAGAAAATATTGTGGTGGTCATTGCATACGTAAATGAACCGCCTTGTTAAATGTTCATCCTCCTTTATCAATGGTTTATCTTGTGAAAATTTGACTGAAGTTATCGGTAACATTCGACGTCTTAATCTTAATGGCAGACATTTCCAATTCCTCTATTATATGTTTATATATTTATATATAAGAAGTTCTTCCTTCTACACGGGCCTTCGATAGCCCAGCGGTTACGCTCATCGCTCGTACCGCGTAGTCTCTCGGGTTCGAATCCCGCTCAGGAAAGATTTTTCGGTGTCTAAGGCAGGATCTGCCTGATAGCCTTACTGACGAGTCCACACAGGCAGACCCGCGACGAAACACAACGACAATGGGTACACATCTACACGCCTACTAACCCAAAGTTGGGGGGTCATGGAGAACCACGGCGTTGTCGGTTGGTTGGGTGTGACTTATGGGGCAGAGATAACGGGACCTGCGAGCTCTAGTAGCCCCCAGGTCTGCTCTGTATGTACCCGTAGGAAGCACCTGTTTACCGGCCCACACACGCGTGGCGAACTCCATGAGGTAACGAGCCCCAAGCGGGGCTCCCCTGGGATCGCGTCGAGGCCAATCGTCCAAACAGCCCAAAACTGGACGTTAAACGATAGCTGTTCGGCCTCTCTGCGGAGATCAGGTGCCATCATGGCGCCCTCCGCACGCGGTGGACCGTCCCGGATCAGCCTGCCGGAGTTGCGTCGGGCAGGCCCCGGGAGCAGGGTGGTGACTTCCCTGTCCCGTAAGGGCGGATACGTAGAACTTGTCATTCTACCCCTCCCACTTTCGGGTAGTAGGCGTGTAGGTGTGTACCCATTGTTGTTGTGTTTCGTCCCGGGTCTGCCTGTGTGGACTCGTCAGTAAGGCTATCACGCAAAAACCCTTCCTTAGACCCCGAAAAATCTCCTGAGCGGGATTCAAACCCGAGAGACTACGCGGTACAAACGGTGAGTGTTAACCGCTGGACTATCGAAGGCTCGTGTAGAAGGAAGAACTTCTAATATATATATATATATGCTATGACCGCCACAATATAGTATGGTCTATGAAATTTATATAGAGATGATTTTCATTTGTAATCCTTCTCATGAAATCGGATAGATTGAATTGATGTGTAAATAAAAGAATGGTGTATTTTATTAGGAAGGTTTGTGTACTGTAATAAACAGGGTGAATGGATAGATGAATCAAGGCGATAACGAGATGGTCCTCGTTGTTAGTTTTTTGTGGAGACAAATCATTCTATTCTTTAAGTACCGCTACGATTGTTATGAACGATTAATAATTGTAATGATTTTCTTCCGATACTTCAACAGGAACTGTTAAAAGTCTTGTACGTGGACCCGGAACTTACTTATCTGAAGGACTTGGACTTGGCGGCTGCCGGCTCGTCGGAAAAAAGTGATGCATCCTACGACGGGCGAAACGGTGTCAGGTCGATAAGAGTCAGTCCAGATGGGAAACAACTAGCATCTGGAGACAGGTAATGACTCTACATAAGACATAAAACGGTGTGTCGTATTTAGTCCGTTTGCTAAATTCTCAGAAATGTACGAATAGTTGCTAAATTAAGGAAAAACCTTTCTTCAGATCTGGGAACATCCGAATCCACGATGTATCATCGCTGGAAGAATTATGCCTTGTAGAAGCTCATGATGCAGAGGTTCTGTGCCTCGAGTACTCCAGGTTTTCGCGTTTTTCGACGGATTCGCCTAGGCTTTTAGCAAGTGCTTCCAGAGACCGGCTTATCCACGTATTCAGTGTCGATCAGGGCTACAATTTCCTGCAAACCCTCGACGACCATAGCTCGTCCATTACCGCGGTGCGATTCTTCAATCAAACGAATCAGCCTAATCAGATACAAATGGTCTCGTGTGGTGCAGACAAAAGTATTATCTTCAGGCAGCTGCAAGCGGTAAAGAACTGTCTGACTCTTTTCTGCATGTCATAAAGCTGCGATAAAGGCGTGTCAGTTGTTATTGATTTTCTTTTTTATTTAATCTGTACTAGACCCCAGGTGGTTTTCCGCAATTCGCCAGAGGTCACAATGCTCAAGGCAAAACGACGTTATATGATATGGAGGTTGATTCGGGGCAAAAGCACGTTTTGACTGCCTGCCAAGATAGGAACATCAGGGTATATAATGTAACCACGGGCAAACACAGCAAGACGTTCAAAGGCTCGGTAGGCGAGGATGGGTCGCTCATTAAAGTTGTATTGGGTAAGTTGGATACATGTTAGAGGATCGCTGAATGCACAGGAACGTTACCCAGACTGCTGGCTTTGACCTGAAAATACGCGTGCTTTGCAGTTTTCAATAGGTCCACTCTGGCCTTCAATTAACCTCCTTAGCCTTGACTTTTCTGATCCTAAGAAGCTGATCTTAAAGCTAAAACTGGAATGGATGTTAAACTTGCGCTAATACTTTAATAACGAGTGACGAGAAATTATTCCCTATTGGGTATTTCCTATCCAGCAATAGTGTCTGATCTGTAATAAATTAAATAATACTAACCTGGTTAATATAGAAAAAACGTGATTTATTTCAGATGCATCTGGGATCTACGTAGCTACCTCATGTACGGACAAGACATTATGTGTCTACGATTACTACAGTGGCGAGTGCATGGCCACGATGTTAGGCCATTCGGAATTGGTAACAGGTCTTCGGTTTAGTCCAGACTGCCGTCATTTGGTATCGGCAAGTGGAGATGGATGTGTATTTGTTTGGCGCGTACCACACGATATGGTGGTCACTATGCAAGCAAGACTCGCGCAACAAGCCATGCGCGCCGGCAAGTAAGCACGTCCACCTTGAAAATTAAATATTGCAATAACTCCCAGAAACGTATGTAAAAAACGCCCTTCGTTATTTATCAGGAGACCACCTCAGGTCAACGGCACCGCAGTTAGCGTTCAGTTGGAGAACGAGACTTTTGGCTCGCCTCCTCCAGACTTCCTCGATCCAAATATCACCCCTGCGACCCAGGGGGTTGGCATCGACTATCGATTCAGTGTTGGTCAATTACCTCTGTGGGCGAAGAAACAAATTACCACTGCTACCGCAACCGAAGAGAGTTCTACTACCATTACCACCACGGTTCGGCCCATGAGCGTAGATCTGCCAAAAGGACGATGGGCCCAACGAGTGCAACAGGGTGACGCGATTACTGTCAAATCGGTATATGACAGCGACGAGGTCATCCCTTTCCCACCACCTCGTGGAGGATTGGATTCAGATGGTGGAGTCGGAGGTGGAGGTTCCAAAGACAGCTCCATTGACAGCGGCACAGAGACTAAGTGCAGCAGTGATTATCGTCGAGACGCGATTATCATCAAAAGGGTTAGTGTCTCGTTTTAAATTCCCTGAAACGTGTTGTATCGATATTTATCACGGATGTATTATATCGTTGATTATTTCCGTACTATTTGTTATTTTATTGAATTATTTGTTGTCAAAGACATTCTCTTAATAAGTAAAGTTAACGCTATGTACGTGTAAGAATGTACATTAATAAAGCAAATTTTTTGTATTATCATGTAAAAAGGGGAAGCCGGCAGTGTACATCCTCCTGGATATGCGACTACACTTATTCTGTTAAACTAACTTGAAATTCGAATCGTACATTGAATCAGAGAAAGCATTGTCTCTTACATAAATATTAATATAATACTTGCATTAACGTCATGGCTGATGTTCTTTTCCATACCAGGGTCCAGGGTTTCGCATACAATGACTCGCGAATTTTAACTTTAAAGAATCTGAATTAACGATCGCCGATGATTCATTGATCCGATTTATAATTCATTAACTGTGAATTCTCAGCCATTGCGGACAAATTCAGTAAAACACTAACGTTAACGTACACTTTTTTAGGAGGAGGATGAGACCGTTTTTCAACCATGTGCAGATAGTTACAGGGAACTCGTTGAAGAGACGAAGCAGGTACTAACTACCTTTAACAATCATAATATTAATCATCATTGCGATAATAATGTATGCTTTTATTGCACGTGCAGGAACCGATAATCTTTTGTACGTAGAAACGTTTGCAAAGCTATTATAATTTGAGTAAAAAATTTCTTTATAAACACGGCACCATCGCAAACTTGTGATAATTCGGGCAAAACTTATTCAATTGCTTTAGCCTGCTTTTGTTTCTAAATTCTATTTATTTCCAAGATTAGCATTTTTGTTTGTCATGCAATTATGTCACTCGATCATTTAGGTGCCGGATGGTAATGTGACGTTAACTAGAGGTAGCAATACCTCCGAATTCACGCGTCACTCGCGGAGTCGTCACCACACCGACGATAGCAGTCTGGGCAGCTTCAAATTTGAGGTAGCTACCTTAACCCTGCTATCAAAATATCCGTACATTCTTTTATTCTTTTAATTTTGTTTCATAACCTGCCAAGGCATAAGAATGTAACTCCTGAGATCTAAGAACTAATTGATGCTATCGTCGTATGAAATGGTCATCTTATAAAAATATACACACGACTTGAGAAACGTACCATCTCCATATCTTTTACATTTGCATACTTTTATATTTCAGTAATTTACGTATTTTAATAAAAAGAAATTAATACATTTTTTATTTCCAGCATCTAGTTTATCACGTTTGCAGAATTTTAATTCTTTCCATTAACAGTAGTTCAGGTTTTAAGTGTTACCCTTGCGTTTCCTAAATTTCTGAAGACTTACAATTTACATATATCTTTAGAATTTCTTTATCCTGGCAAATTATTAACCTTCACTTTCAAGAGGTGATGATTCATTTACAGTATCGCAATGACATTTCATTATGTAAAATTAGGTACATTTAAGTCAGGCATTGTACAAATTCACAAACTCGACCTCATGCCATTCTTTTCTTCATCCATATTCTATCAGGACCACGAAAGCACAGAACATGATGGAGATGTAGAAGATTACTCCGAAGGAGAAAATGGTACGACTGGTTCGGAAAAGTCACATCATCGTCTCATGTATTACCCTCCACCAGATGACACCGTATCCAATCAATTTACTGTCAACGCTATGGACGTTGAAGAACTTCGGAGGTTTGTAATATTTTTACTGTATTTATTATCATTTGGCTGATAATTTATTAGAATTCATGTCAATTTAACAGTTGTTTTATTACATGAAAATATTCCATGCAATTTAGCTTTTTTTCTTGTTATTCGATGACATATTTTGTACGTAAAAAATCTGTAAATAAATTATGTTAACAGATCTCAGAAGCGGTCGAAAAAACCTAGAGCTACTGAAAGTGGTCGAACAAGTGAACTTACTGCATCCGGTAGCCAAGATGACTCGGACTCGGAAGGGGGAGCATCAACACCCAGTGCGGAACGAAATCCTCTATCGATGCTCTCCGAAGCCAGTTCGGAAGGCTTCGATCAGCTTACGAATCAAAGTCATCGTGAAAAATTCCTGAAGAATGCATTCGAGTCTTTGAGCGGAGCTGATGAGCCTACTAATCGTACCAAAACGACTAGCATCAGTTCTCAATTTCACGGAAGGTAATTGTTTAAGAGAAAATGAATTACCAAAGTGTGGTCAAAATACACATTTTTGTATGGTCTTTATCCTTTGTATTAACAGTTTAAGCAAAAGTAACAAGGGGCGGTATGAAGCATTCATATGAATATATATTTTTGTTGTATCACTTAATTTAATCAGTACGTGGAAAGACCGCGTTTATTTCAATTTCCTGTAACTCCAAGGATAATATTTAGGTGATTCAAATATACTACAATACTGTTGAATATTTTTGACAACTTTCTCTATATTGCTTTTAGATCCAACGGTGGAGGAGATACAGCACCGAAATTAAGAAATACAGCGGTGGTAAATGCAACTAAGCATGCAAGAGGTGACATTGATATAGCGAAAAAACGCGAAGAACTCCAAAGAAGGATAGAAGAAACTAGAAGAAAGCTACAAAGTGTAAGTACCTTTGCAATTGTTCGAATCTCTGCAAAATGTTGTGTTTAATGTTATAACAGTTGTAAGTTCATATATCACACGAGACTTTGTAATTCAATCGACAGGTGGGCTACAGGTCTTCACTAAAAAGCAGCCAAAGTATCTCTGATCTGAGCAGTCATATACCCGAGAAGCATCACCGTCAAAATAGACTCAACACAGGTAACAAACCCAGTCAGCCGAATCAATTTGCAAAACCGACTAACCCCTGCAAACCCATGCCACATCCAAAACCTACTCTTAAACCAAAACAGCTCGCTAACAATCTCCCAGGTGTGGGTAACGCTTTTTCCAAATTCGAAGTTCCAAACCAAAATCACTTACCCAAGAGTCTGACAACACCCTGCATAAATGAAAAGACAAAACCTGCTCTGGCTCGCCCGATAACGCTCACTTTGAAAAAAACTGAAAAGTATAAGCTGTCCTTAAATAAGGCTAATCAGTCGTTGCCCGAATCACCGGTTTGTGAAGAATTAAAAGCCCTGAAGGAACAGTGCAAAAAGAATGTCAGTCGATTCGCAAGGTTCGCCCAAAAAAGGAGATCCTGCAGCTACTTTATCGGATTGGACGACAACGAGGAGGAAATAGAAAACATTACCAAGTCGTTCGAAAGTCTACCGGTCATGAATGAACGGAACATTGAAAAATTAGGACAAATGTCCGACGAAGAAGAGGAAGGAAACGGGAATTTTAGCGATGATTCCTTGGAAGGTGACTTTAAAAACCCCCCGCGAAGATGCGTTAGCGATTATCAGATTAACATTCGCATGGATAGTCAAACCGAGAACAAAAATTACCACAATTATCACAGTTTGCATAAAAAGATTGTAACGAGGTCTCAGGAAAGCATATTATCGGATGCATCCGTTGAGTCGTTTTCCAAGGGAAGTGCAGAGATTCTGGATTGTACTCATTACGAACACGATCGACATTCCAGTGCGAGTTTCTTTCTCTCCCGAAGAAAGATGCAAGCAGGCAGAAGCCAAGAGAGTATTCTGACCGACGAGTCCGATTATCAGATGTTCCCATTACAAGAGAATGCCGATCATCGAAGTACCGAAAGCGTATTGACCGATGACTCGGATTCTTTGGTCAAATCTGCGCCCCTAGAAATGTTATTTGACTCACATTATAAGCGAAAGAGGCAAAATTCCGAAACCTACAATGGTAATCCTAATAATGCAGTGGACAATAATACTCTTTCGCACGATCAAAGTTCCTCTGAGAATCCTGACATGGGCAGAGCGGTGTTCAGATCGAAATCCCTCCAAGACACCAGACTAAGCGAGGTAAAAAATTCAACTAATTACACGGAAGACGGAGCGCAACCTAAAACGCGGATTTATTACGAATTCAATTTCGAGGAGAAGCGCGATAATCGTCCCGAGGGTAACAGTGCCTCTAAATCGAATAATGCGTCGAGAAGCAATAGCCTGAAAGCACCTATAGAACCACAGTCGATGTTGATCTTGAACGACTTTGTCGCTCACAAGCCACCTAAACCGAAAAGAAATTCAGCTCGTACCCAAAGTATGAGGAACAGAGCTAGACCCGCGTGGAACAAATGCAACACGGATTCATCGTCTCAACAACCATCGAGCCTAAAACATATTTCAGCGACACATATGACCGGTCAAAACGAAATCGACATAGCCAGACCTGCAGAAGGAATGAGTAACACAAAAAAATTCGAAAGACTTGCCCAGTCTCAAAATTACCCTCCACAGGACACTGACGATCGAGACGCTCAAGAGAAATTTTTCAGTTTGCAAGTGGGTCGCCAGGACAAGCAAACTGGTTTGCAAAAGGAGGTAATTTATACCATAGAAGGAAATAAAAGCGACGATGGTGCCCGGATTCACGAAATAACTGCCGGACCACCCTCTTTTAGGGAAAGAGATCTGAATTGTTTCGATACGCAAATTCCTACCAAAGACACCTCCGAAACGTATGATTCTTTGGAACCAAACGTCACGATGTCCTCCGACGTACAAACGATAGAAACGCAGGCTCGTAATCAATTTACATTAAGAGACGAGCAATTTGATATTTCGGATGCGAGTGTTGACATACGAATAACACGCGCCATCGAGGGAACCGTCAAACTGCTGTCGAAGGAATTCGAAAACCTGGTACGAAGGGAACAGTATCTGATGAAAGGAAAGGACCTGCGACTGCTACACTGTCAAGAGTCCAACGAAAACTTCGCCAAATTAGAGGCCGAACGAGACATCAAATGCTCGGTGTTCAGACGAGAAATGAGAGGCCACTCTGGCGGGGAAGATAGCGATTGCGCCGATGTGTCGACAATGGACAAGTCTTTCATGGAAAGCGGCAGTTCGACCCCTGCATCAAGCTGCACGAATTCGCCTAAACGTTTATGGCCACCTGCCTCGAGGTGTCAGAGTCAGCTGAAGTGGACGAAAACATTGCCGACAATCAACCAGGCGATTCTTCCCTCGAAGCACCATTACGCAGGTACCTGAGAACTTAGGAAGACGATTTTGATAGATGTCACGTGGTCCGGTCTTGACGTACGAGATGCAGCTCGACGTCGGCGTTAGATTGTGGAAGAATGTGCTACGGGTCTTTTTTCCGTTAATAGGCCAAATAGCATTGGTAGTTGCAATTGCGATCCTTGGGATCTGTAGTTGACTGTCGGTGCACGTTATGCAAGCACCAATGCTTAGCCTGTACTTTATCATTCAGTATTTATATTCGTAAATGTTTCCATCGATGTACCAGAACATCAATAGACAACGTTGCACTGCTTGAGGTTACTCCAGCCGAGTACTTGTACATATTTATACATAGCTCGTTCGTATCTCATTTACGCTCTGATTTCAATACGACAGCGGTTACTTTTCAGTTTGATTTCCCCGAGAACGCTAGTTCTTCCGAGGTTTTTCGTTTGGCACGACATGGAACTTTCGGCATGTTCACGGACTCCTCGTGATCCCGGTAACTCCTTTGACTTCCCGATTTTTCCCTCCTCGATTATTTTAACTGTAAATCAGTGAACGAAATGTTCTCCCTTTTCCTCACTTATTGATACATTCGATCACTTGCTTTTCAGTTACTACCGTTTAACTGCAATTAACAGTTTCATTTGCAGTCGACTAGAAAGCAATTGATGCGTTCGAATTATTCTTTGCATTAATTATTCTCACAATAACAAGTTTTTCACGTCATTTTTCTCATAAGTTTGTTTAACTTCATTCAATGGCTCAATGACTGTCGAGGTAGGTCTCAGGATCTGCCTCTGTGTCGAAGTATTCGTCGACTCGTTTCGACGGCTTAAGGTGAAGTGAAACCCCCTTCAAATCAGTCGATTCGAATACAACACTTTTTTTTAAGGGTATTAGACCGAACTGTCCGAAACTTTGACACATCACTCCTGATCATCTAAGGATTGTCCTGACACATTTAAAATTTAGATTTTTGGAGCTCTTACATTTCGATAAATATACCATTATCGAAGGCTCTGATATGAGAAACGAAAGGGTCAGGACAATTTTACGACAATTTAGAACACTCTGGTAACTGATAAACTCGCATTTGAACGGGATAAAGGCAAGAAAAGTGTTGTATGCGCTTCTATGCCAAAACGATGATAATACGAGGTCTCGGAGTGAAAATTTAATTGACCTGGTAATCACAGATGGCGCAGGGGTTCCCTCTACAGTCAATTAGAACACCTAGAAAGCATAAATTCAGATGAGTTCTGGAGTTTTACTTCGATTTCTTTATAATTATTGTACGAAAACGACAGGTGGAGTATGCTATTTGGTACAATATCCAATATAATTCGACACAGCTGTCAATATAAAAACGAACGTCAGCAACGTAGGCATTTAGAAAAATCTTCTTTATCGACGTCGATCAAGTTCCTCGACGTGTTTCACTTCACCTTAAGAATATGCAAGCTTAGAAAAACTTTTGTCATTTGACGAGGTATGACTTGTGCAGACGGTAGTTTAGTGCATGTGTGTGCGTGTTGTCAACAGTGGCCAATAGTGGGCGATTGTCGTCTAAAGTTGTCGACAGCGAAGAGGAGAGCGGCATGAGACGTGCCTGCTCCCTGAGCGATCTCTCCGTCAGCCCTCCGAACAGAATACTGCATGGCCCGATTCAAGGTACCTCCTGTCTATCTGCTTTCTCTTGGCATTTCACAATATATCTTAATCATATTTTGATCTTTCTCCTTCCAGACTATGTATGTCTCCAATACACCTTTAAGATAAGCGACCGACTAATGGTTTTTCAAAAATCAAACGTACCATCTAGCGTCTCTAATTTTCACTTTTTATTTATTCGCGAACTTCAACATCTTTTATTCACGAGAAAACGACGAACGTCATTTGTTTTAGAGTTGCAGATTGACGTTTAAAATGTAGCATTAAGCGCATTTAATTTCAAGCGCAACACAGGATGAGGAAAAAATGTCCGGACTCCAATGTATTTTCTTGTTAAATGAGTATCTTAATTAGGAAGACCCAGTATTTTTTTCTTTTCCCCGTTTTTTAAATCTCAGTTAATTGTTAAATACAATCATACATAGCCTGGTGTTTTTTCATTCCGTTTCGTAGAAACAAATATAAAGCCTTCCTTGTATAAATTACTTATGAATGCTGCATCTGGCATTGAAACCCTTCTCGTACTTGACGTTTCTTTTTTGAAATAAATGATACAGCAATATGATCTTCGACTAATTGCGGGGCGATTAGTTTCAGGAAAAGTAAGCAATAAAGTTTCAAGCACGTCGTCGAGAGGTGGTCCAGGAAACGCGAACAGTGGTCAGCAAAGGCATGGGTCAACGAAAAGTCACTCGGCTCATATGACTCGAAGCAGCAGCGTGGGGGTGCTTAATCAGGTAAGCGGACACATCCTGAGGTAGTACGTGATCCGAGTGTCGAGGACTTTCTAAGGAAAGTACATTGTTCTTATTCCGTTAATTTTTATGCAGCAAAGCGACTCCGAATCGGACGTGGGCGTAGCGGTAGGTGGCAGGAGTTGGAACAGTCAATCTGGAAGCAATAGGATCAGTGGACTGATGAGGCCTACGATCAGCTCCCAAAACAAAACCAACCACCAGATAAAGTCAAACTCTTCCCAAGGATCCAACCTTCCTTCGGTATTGAGAAGACGAGGCATGCAGGGAGCTTATTCAAGTGGTACGTACTTTCTTGCATTCCACGCCGCTTACTCATGGGTTAATTATATTCCCGTGAAATGACTCGCAACGAGCTCATTACGTCTACGTGGCGGAGGTAAGGTAGTCACTCGGGATTGAATGTTTTGCAGTGAATCTAAGTCAAGTGGGTAATCAAGAGGATTCTAGCTCGGAAGATACTTCGTCGAACGGAAACGGAGGAAAACCCGCTCTTCCTCCTCGACCTAGAAGTATTAGCATCGATCACTCCGCCGTTGGGTAAGACTTTCTTTAAGGACATGAAATAATTCGTATTTACAGAAGTGGAGAATGACAAATTTCATATCGGTCTTAGAGAGACATTGAAATCGTCAAATCAAATCCCAATCTTAAAATCCTCGATAATGCGTTAGAGAAATCCCGAATTAAATTGTGGCAATCGCGTACTTTTTTTTTTTTTTTTGTAACATGTTTCCGTGACATTTAATTATAGAATTAAGACTTTTACGCAAGTCATGTAAATGAAATTATTAATTTACATTCTGATGTCGATTTAGCTTAAGCATAGCCAGCTCGACCGTGAGGAGAACCGGCTCATCCGCGGTGATAACGAACGGTCGGACAACCGGAGGAGGTGGCGGTCCAGGAACTGCCAGAATGTCGGTGTCAAGTCGCAGTCAACTTGAACCTAGTCCTCAAGAACTTCCTGTTAAAGACACTGATCGTACCATCGATGTAGCAAGTGCTCAATGTAAGTATTTCAACGTAAAACTTGATCTCTTTTAGTTTATTTTTATTGGCAGAATTCTTAAAACTCATTCTAAGCATTGAAACATCAAATGTCTTAATTTGCAATCAGTACTTAGCGCTTAACGTACGTTTTCCGTACCTCTTATATACTATTAATCCTGAAACGTGTACTTTACCTAACCTGAACATTACCCTTGCAGTAGACATGGATAACAAATTAGGTAAACTAAAGATGCCTATTGAGAATGCTGTGCCGTGAAAATAATAAGTCTTTCAATAAATTCAAAATTTGTAAGTGATCATGCTATGACTGACCGTTGTGTAAAGAATCGATAGCAGGATTTTAGAGCAGTCCTACGTTTGGTCTGCGCGGATTGCTGTACATAAATGCTAATGTTTTCATGTACGGGACGTATCTCCGAATTGTCGGATAGATAGGAAATTCAGTACTTAAATTGTCATCTAGTATAGAAACGTTTCACCGGGAATGATTAGCAATCTTGACATTCGCGAAATAAGGTGATCATTAATTCACGAGTCTCTCGCAATTCCATAGTCTCGTGCTAATTTCATTCAACGGTCTCTCCTAAATTGTATTTAATCGATCATCGATTATTCTTAGATTCGCTCAAAGGATAGATTCATTTTGGAAGCTAATCTCGCTCAGGGTTTTGTAAATACAACGAATGACACCTAAATGTCGTGGATGCGTTACTCGTTTTTTTTTTTTCTCCCATCGTTAGCCATAAGCATGTGCCGATCATAATATGGTGTCAAAAATAGCGTCGAGTGTAATTACCGTTATCGAACTCTGGCACCATTGAAATTACTGAACTTATTTAGATCGGGCACTTCTAGTCTTTGCGACTTTAGCAATCCCAATCATAATAGCATGGTCTCATACGGATTTTAGAAGCGTACAGTTTGCACGTTGCATGGCGTAATCTATTTTTCCTCATCCGCTAAAGTCATATTGAGATCAATTAATTCTTAGGTCCGGGTCGATCCAACAATTTTGAATTTATGATTAACATTATGAGAATTGATTAATCATAATAACTTGTGTTTTTACGGGATGTTCATTATGTACTTCGCTTGTACGATGCTAATTCCCAGTTACGATGGTCCTGAACATTCTTAACAATTTATTAAAGACTAGTTTCAAAACTCGATGAACTTAGCAATTTCGTGTAATTATTCCCAAACGGCCCTCGGTGCTAAATTTAAACGTAGACCGATATGCAACGAGCGACAGTCTTGTTATTAATCTGTCGATAAATTCAAAACTGTTACTATCGATAAATCCAAAGATGCAAAAAAATATATATACATATGCTAAACTTCCATGTGTCGGCATTAATCGGAGTAAATGGGTCTGGATCAAAGAACGGTGTCGGTTGCTCTCTTTAAGGTGAAGTGAAACACGTCGAGGAACTTGATCGACGTCGATAAAGAAGATTTTTCTAAATGACTACGTTGCCGACGTTCGTTTTTATATTAACAGCTGTGTCGAATTATATTGGGTATTGTACTAAATGGCATACTCCACCTGTCGTTTTCGTACAATAATTATAAAGAAATCGAAGTAAAACTCCAGAAATCCTCTGGATTCATGCTTTCTGGGGCCCTAATTGACTGCAGAGGGACCCCCTGCGCCATCTGTGATTTCCAGGTGAATTAAATTTTCACTC